CATCCCTGCTAGTGCAGAGGATGAGGATCTGCTTACCAGCACAGTCACCACACGCAGAACCACTCCTCGCATGTTATTCTCCAACTTCCTGTCTGTTAGTGACCCATTCAGACCAGTGATGGGATTCCAGCAGCCAAGCTAAAAGAAAACAGAAATCATTCTGTCATTGCCCATAAAACTTTGCCAGTCATTCCTTTTAGGTGGCTTTAAGCAGGAACATATGAAATAAACAGAACACCTTCTGGAATCAAGAGGAGGGAAAGTCAGGCTTGTGCACAGATTCATCTTTCAATTGCAAATTAAGCAATTAGGGATATCAGTTTGTGCTTTTTAAAATACCAGCGTGCAGTGGATGACAGCATCCAGGGTTTGGGGGTATAGGTACTGAATTATAAGAGCTCAGGGAGGACCTCTATATTAATGAAAAACATTTAAAAAGTAGTATTGCTGTAACAATACTGCCACCTTTCACCAATACACTAATTGGAGAAATAATAGCTACCATCATTTTAGCACACTGTCTCCTTAGCCCATCTTTCCTAGCAGAACTCTGCTGAAAGGAATTACACTAGTTTTAATTAAATCTTATACTAGTCATTGATAATGAAACAGCAGTGATTTTTAGCCAGGTTAAAAATCACATTTTAAGATGATTGAGGAAAAGACCACTGGATAGGCACATCCTTGAGAAAGGACTGCAACAGATAATGCAGAAAAAGGAGTTCGCTATGAGGTGCTTTGCATTGGTGCTATTGTATTTCTTGGGCTTCTGTGGACAGAAGCTTTTTCTCAGGCATCTCTCTAGGACTGCCTTTCAATTTGAATTTAGTAGATACTGACCTGTAATGTAGCTTGTCTGAAAATATAACTTGCTGACATTTCTACATGATGGTAGGTGCTTATCTTGGAGAAACAAATCAACCAACCACTTACCCTTTAGCACCGCATACAAACACTACTGGTTTAATTTTCATTATTCATCACCGCATTAATCTGGCCTGTACAATTGCCAGTATTAAATCCAAAACTCAACACACGGATAATAGAAGGACTGGCCTTTGAAGCAAGGTCTCAATGATGTCATGTAAACTGATTGCCTATGTAAAACCCTCATACAGTCTGAGGTAGGCACCTGCAGGTTCCAGTTCTTGCTCTGAATTGCCTCCTGTGTGGATTGTGCATGAAATCTATGGAGGGATGCTCATCATCTGACTCGGGCAGCTGAGTTAAGCCTCTAAACCCAGGCAGTTTTCATGTCCGTATTTAAAGACACAAAAGATCTTACTCTGACAATACCAAGATCAACATCAGTAGGTTACTGCTGGGCCCAGTGGCCTTTAGTAAGACTAGTCTCTCAGATAATTCAGCCCTATAGTCTGCAAGAAATGTAAACTGTAAAATATCTAAAACATTGCTGTAATTTAATGCACAGTCATTGAAATGGCAGGGTGCCTGAATCAGCTGAAGGGGTCTCTGAAAGGAGTACCTTTCCTGACCATGAACGAACAAAAATTTACAGAAAGAATTATTATTCCTTCATGGGAAAAGCCTTTGTATATTTGTTTCACAGATCCTTTGATGTGAGACAAAAAACAAAGAACAAACTCCAAGTACACACACGTAACAATTTAAGAAGTGGACTATTTGAAATACTTGTTTTCTTCATTACACCCACTAGGCTATTTTAGAGTAACTTCTAAATTACTTTATTTCAATATATTGATATCAATTATTTGCAGATGCCTCCTTAAGAAATGGGTGCCTCAAAAAGTAAAATCCCCAAACCTTTCTGTGATGATAAAGGTTAAGTTTGATGATCTTAAAAGTTTTTCCAACCTAAATGATTCTACAATTCTATGTTTCCCAATAGAAGATAGCCTTAAACCAATGTTGTAATTTCTTTCTGACATTTTCAGAAGTGCTCAGAGCTGTCCTAATTCTTGGTGCTCTCTGAAGTTAAGGTTATACTATTTTCCACAAATAAACAAAGGTAATGCTGAGCTTACTTTTAATCTCAAGTAATAACTAAATCAAGGAAGTACTGGATTCAGAACTGCAGTAGAAATCATTGGAAGTAGCAATAGGATACAAGGAGGAACTAAAGTATGAGGTATCATATTAATCTCTTGCAATTACTCACCTTTCCAATAGCTATTTCTAAATAAAAGTACAAACATTCACTGCTTGATTTCCTCATTTCATGTCCCCATCTGATCACAAAGACCCATAACAGTTTATACTAGCCATCTCTGCTTCTTCTGTACCTCCATAGCATGTCTAGATGTTCACAGCAGTATGGATAGACTGCTGGCATGTTCCATGTCCTCATCACTCCTGCAAGCAAAGCCTTCCACACTCTGAGCTGAACAACAAAATTGCTGAAGTTTGTTACCTGTAATAATGCAGTGAAATGTAGTGCATGTATTTGAAGTGTGTGCACTGGGCACTGATTGTGATAAATCACTGCCATCCTATAAAGCAAATCATTTGATAGTCTACATTTTCTGTACTAAAAATATTGAAAACGGCACTAAGTTCAGAACAAAAGTGCATTAAATTTACTCAGTGACTGTCATTCTTAGTCACATAAAGAAACTAATTAGAACTTAGATCCAATTAGCATATCCAAATGTGTTGGAAGTATAATTACCACAGAAAATGTACAGCTCTTGCCAAATTTAAAACCCTAGAAAGTTACTGAAAAGCCTTTGTATCCTTTGGAGGTTAAAGTCCATTTCTAATTATGTACATTAATGTGTACACATTTATATAACTAACTTTTTAGCCCAACCCGTTCCATCTTTCTAAGAAAAAAACCCCTCCAACATAACCGATTCCTGGAAATTTAGCATAGCACTAATTTTCCTTTCAAAAGACACATTTTATTTTCAATTATTGTTCATTTAATTATCAATTCAGTTGTTCCTTTATACGGCACAGTCATGGCAAAGACAAATGTGCAGTGCCTTGCCAATGAAGTTGAAATAATTGATTTTGAGGGGGAACTGGTTACTATTATTAGATGAAAACAAATCAACTTTTATTAATGACAATTTAAGCTTGTCATTGCAGCAAGAAGCAAATGTAACTATTGCTGAAACAGTAAGATGCGGGTGGGATGACACTACCTCCAACTCCACCTCTCGCTTAAACCGCTTCTACAAAACACTGGCTGCTTCTGCATTTACTTCCTTTTTCTTCATTCTGTCTCTGATAGTTGAAATGACAGAATAGATCAGGCGGTAACAGAACCTCACATTAATTCTGCTTGATTTGTGTAGAACAATATGGGTGATAGGGACTCTCTATCAAGCACAGTACTTGCTGTCTTCATACCACACGAATTTTGTCAGTTACAGTGCTTTTTACTTCCATTGCAGCTTCTTTTCTTTATTCTGATGACAGCATTCACTCTGCTACATTCAGGTATAAAACGATGAAGATGGAAAAGTTGTCAATGTTTTGCTTCCTTGGATATCCAATTTACAATCTTTCTCTGATCATCTCACTTCCCAGCTTGTTATCCCCTCTACCATCATTATTAGAACAGGGTTTGCTCACTCGTTTTGCTGGCAGAGCCTAAAGTTGACCTCCCTTCTTCATTAGAAATTTTTGCCTATATGAACTATGCATTATGGAAGGTCTGCAATTTGCATATCAATATTAAAACTGGCAAAATCTATTTTATGTGTATCTGCAATTTTCAGACATTGATATAAGGAACTTAGAACAGGAAAATCTATACTGCCTTTACAACAGAGCTTAGAGTCAGATTTTCTCCCCTACCATGAAACCAGTGAACTCTGCTGAGTATGTGACAGCTTTCACTTCTTTTCTAGCAGAATATAATGCTGATTAAAACTGTCAATTGACCAGGAAAACACAATTGACTGGTGTGATCACAGCTGAGAACAATCACAGAAAATAAGTAAAACCAGAACACTGATAAAGAATGCATTAATTAAGTGCTTCTTACTAGAGTATGTAAAGTGTTCTGTTTCTCCAATTAATATAGAAAAGGTACAGGAAGCAGTTCATCCAGCATTGCAATGCAACCACCTCTCAACTCAGACTGCATCACAGCAACACTACAAAACAGTCAAGAGACTTTTTAGGGAAGCTACAACGGAAATCTGAAAGATAAAACACCATTATATCTGCAACTGGAATCGATCAGGACACTGGGATGACTATTACTCCTCTTTCTTGGTTTTACTGCAGAAAGCCTGACAAGACATTTCCAGTGAAAATGCCCACCACAGCGCACTGTTTGAGGAACTGCTCCATTAGCAGTTCATAAGAGAGTCACAGAAATACCAGCCTCCTCCTCTGCAGTAGCCATATCTTCTTCAGAAACTCCCTTCTCAATTTTCACCGAGGTCCAACCTGCTTTAGGAACTGACTTTTTCCAAGATATGGCTTCAACAGAAGCAACATGCATTAAGCAATGACCTTTTCCATTCCAAAGCATAAAAAATTCACACGACTGGAAAAGACACCATGAAGCTGTCATGAAACATCACTCAGATAGGAGATTCTAATTGGCAGCTGTGCTGGGAAGACTCAAGATGGGATACATGACAAAAAATAATGAAGAAAAAGGTGAGTTGGTTTGGGGTTTTTTCTTGTTTCTGTGTGGATTCAGCACTTACAAAATTTGCTAGGAAAACGGTTTAGGAAAATTCAAGCAGGACAACACAGAAACAGTTTTTCACAGAGTATTCCTGATGCCTCGTCAGTTGTTGTCCAACAATATGCCCAACAGTGACTGGGAAATCGGAGGCTAATCCTACAGATGAATCTCACAGAAGAAAAGCCAGGAAAAAAAAAAGTTTTGGTTCTCATTCTGATACTGTCAGTTATACAAAATTTAGTCAGACAGTCTATCACCTGATTAAAGAGTCCTTTCAGTTCAGCTCCTGAGCCATCACCCAACAGTTGGTCAAACAAACCTGCAAAAAGCCTGATAGCCAGGGGTTAATCGAGGGCCTTTGTACTCTGGGCTTGATTAAAGAAACAAGGATCAGTTTTGTTCTTCACAGCAGTTTCCTAAGACTACTGGTTATCAGGGAAGTTTTCTGTGCTTAACTTCTCCCTTCACTGGAGCTAGGTAATAGTCAGCAAGTAGTAAGTTGTTA